GCCACGGTGGCCGGAGATGGGAGCTGGTCGCCGGATTATCAAGCCATGATGGTGGTGGTCTAAGCTTTAATGGAGGTGTGGGGTGTTTGGATCTTGGATCTTAAAAAAAAAATGTGGGGAAGATAATGAATAGTGAAAAGTGGCTAGGGTTTGCTCCTTTTTTTGTGTTGGGTGTTGGGAGACAAGGAACATGCTATTTATAGGAGTAGGGAGCTTAGGGTTTTTGTGCTATTGGGCTTTAAAAATCGGGCCTAATCAATTGGGCTCGATTTAGGAAAATAAATACCGTTAAATGGACCGACTAAATAAGGTCGGGCTCGGTAAATAATCGCTACCAGACTCGATTTTAAAATACTACATGGGCTTAATATTAAATAAATTATGCAATTAATATTAATAATTCTCCGCATAATTAAAATAATACTAATACCGATAAATAAGTCGAGCTATTAATATAATATTATTCCGGGGTGTTACAAATATAATAAGCATTTCTTGTCATTATGCATTAATACATTCTAATAATATAAATTTTACACAATTCCTTAAAACAAACCTCGAAGCATTAATTGCAATTAGTTTTAACTTCCCTCGACAACCGGATTTTTTGTTTTAAAAAATATTCCATAATATTTGACTAAACATTAAATGCGGTTGTTTAGAATCATTTCTATTTAAAAGCCATGTTATTATGGAATCAAATATTATGAAGTATCATTTTAAAATCAGTATAATTACGGAATCAAATAATTTAACCACGATTCAATATTTTTAATTCAATATATATATTTTTTTAGACTTTTCAATTCATTTTAATATAACATAAATTTGCCGTAAAAATGAGAGTAGAACTTTACATAATCATGGTATCAATATTAATAATATAAATGATAAATAAAAAATCTAATTATTGGGGAACATATGGGAAGTTCGCCCGGAAGTTCTATTCCTGGACTGTACACTTTATTATATACATATAAATAAATCGCATATTTAAACTTTATTTTTTTTATTTTTTTTTATATATAATTATACAATATATGCTACTTAACTACAAGTAAAAAATATAGTTAGTTTTTTGAGCTACAACTTGATTACAATATATTCGCCCGATATCATTATTCTTTTTATCAATTTAGTTATGAAATATTTTTTTCTTTTAAAAATAGTGATTTAAAGTCATCCGATTCATTTAGTTAGTTTTTTGAGCTACAAATGATAAAATATCGTTGTTGTTATTTTTTAAATGTAATTATTTTTGTAAATATTGTTTTACGAAAGATACAATCAAAAATCTAAATCTCTATTAAAACATAACAAAAACAAAATTGTTCTCAATATTGGAATGAATTTGGAATAAAAAACGAGAATAATTGAAAAAAAAATATATACTCAAAATCCACACTTTAAGGTAACAACTTTTTTTATATTCTATATAAAATTAAACTTCACCAGATAAATCATATTTTTAGTATTTATCACAATAATACATGTTTACACTATAATTATAATTTGTGGTGCTAACATAAAGAAATCAACAAAATAAATAAATAAATAAATAAATAAAGTAAGAATGTGTCAATGCAATTCGCAATTACCAAGTGGAGAGCAATCTTGGTAAATATTGGTCTACGGTTGCCAAGTGTAATGTATTTTTGCATGGAAAAATGGCGATGTTTTTAATAATGTATGACTTTTTCATGACGAACATTTTACAATTACCTAACAAATACTCTATGTATTATAACTCATTGATTAATAATTTAATTATAAATTTCACCAAAACAAATACAGCTCGTGCATCGCACGGGTTTACGTACTAGTTTGGTAAAACGAGAAAGCTCAAACTTATCTCAGGAGCTTTTTGAGTAGCCTGACTATCATCAGTTAATTTTACCAAACAATTTTATCATATAAACTATCTTTTCATATATATGTCATAAACTATTAGATGTAACACGAAAATTACTTCTAAATTATAAAATAGCTTATCAATTATTAACTAGTTTTACAGAGGCTCATTCGATACATCAATTAACCAAATCACCCGACAATTAAACCGATAACCGAAGACCACCCGGAGCCCAAGTTAGAAAGCATCTATATATATATAATTGCTAGCATATAGCATTTAATGAAACCTATTTAATAAAACCTCTAAAATTTTCCCTCCATTTTCGGTTACAAAATTTATCATTAATATTTTTTTACTTCTCACATTAATACATTTTATTAAGTGTAATCATGTATTTTTCTATTATATTATATAATAGTTATTGCTAATACCAACTAACAATAATTCACAATAAATATAATTACATAATTATAAACAATTGTTTCAAGTTATATATATATATTAACATCAATATTATCTTTTTCTTTTGTATCTCATGAAAAAATTTCTGTTAAACCAATTAGTAAATTATTTTATTAGCTTAGTCAAACAACTTTAGAAGCTTATAAATAATTGTTTTAAATAATAATAGTCAAACTGTTATTATCTAATGACAATAAACAATTGTTCACAATTAGAAAATCGTTAATTGTTTTTTCTAATGATCAAAATTTTGAAAATGTAATATGTTCGTTATCTATAATTTTAATATTAAGTTCTCAAATATTACTTATAATATTTTATGTACATTTGTGCATGTGCACAGGATATCTACTAGTTGGATTAAATACTAAAGAACAAAAAGAAAAAAAAAATAAAGAAAATATCTCCTCTAATCCTCTTCCATCCTCCCACATAAACACCTCTCCTCTCATCTTCATTCCATCGCTGAAGAAGAAATTTCCACCTTTCCGACTTAAAAAAGATTAAAAAAAATAATAATAAAAAAAATGGGCGAACTCACAATCCCCAAAAACCAACCCGACGACCCGCCCGCCTGGCGTCCCGATCCGGACCGTCTAACCATAATGCAGCACCGGATCTCCGACCCGCCCCGAATCCTGACCCGGTCTGCCGGACGGAGCTCGTGCTCCATCTTCACCGTCCCCACGACCCTCGCCGCGGCCAACGACGGCCGGGCATACCGTCCCCAAATCGTCTCCGTCGGACCCTACCACCACGGAGACCCGGGCCTCCGCATGATCCAGGAGCACAAGTGGCGGCTCCTTGGGGCCCTGCTGGACCGGGCTCGGGTCGGGCTTGAGGACCTTCTCCGGGCCGTGCAGCCGCTGGAGGCCCAGGCCCGGGACTGCTACTCGGCCGCGGTCCACGTGTCGGTAGACGAGTTCGTGGAGATGCTCGTGGTCGACGGGTGTTTTGTGGTTGAACTCTTGAGGATTTTTGGGGGATTTGTCGTGTCAGAGGCGGGTGACCCGTTAACGTCGCTTTCGTGGGTTTACCCATTTTTCCTGAGGGATTTGGTCCGGCTCGAGAATCAGATCCCGTTTTTCGTGCTCGAGTGTTTGGTCGAGGCGACCCGGGAGAAGGGGGTCAGGGATGGGGATGGGTCGGGTCCGGGCCTGCCCGAGCTCGTGCTCAGGTTCTTCAATAATGCCTTGCAGAGGCCTGATGACTTTGTTGAGAGGTAATTAGTTTTTTTTTTTCTTTTTTTTTTCCCGGTTA